CATGATGTCATGGGTGGCTAACTTTATATTGCGATGTTTCAAAATCGTTACAAACACAATGGTTTGACTGCAATGAATGAACGAATGATCGATCTGGCAACACCATATTCCGAGAATTAACCCATGTCTTTCTAACATATTACACAGCGAGCGATTTCAGACACCTACAGTCGTGCATACCGACATGCCCCATACGATAAATAAGCTTCAACAAGAGACACCATTGAATGTGAGGTCGCCACAAGGACTTACACTGCTAAAACGCATGGTGCAGAAAATGTATTACACTGCTAGAACGCATGGTGCAGAAAATGTATGAATTTTGGGAAATTTTTTGGGAATCAGTGTAAAAAATTTGTACAGATATTAAAATCTGTAAATTAGAATATCTGATTCTATATTCTTTCTAGATTAAAGGAGCATTCATTTCGTTCGTTTATCATAAAAAATGTAGAAATCACACCATTTTTAGAAACATGCTTACAATTTCATTGCTCTAGAAGGGCGGGCATTTAAATAAACTCCGTCCAGCTGCCCCTCCCGGAAATTAAATGGCCCGTCCGATAAAGGTTAAATAAATGCTTTACTAAGTGATTAATATCAAGCTAATCTGTTTGGCTGTGGAAGTTTTAATGCAACCTAATTTGGTCATGATATGCAGAGTGCTAATGTATATTCTGTTATTTTCCATGTTTTCTCATACTATTTTAAAACCAATAAATATTCCTGAGATATTTCAGCAGTAAATAGGAGTTTATATGAGCAAGCAGCTGGACAGTTTACATCATCATGTACTGCAGCGCATAAGAATGGTCCTTGGAAACACAACAGATCCTGTACCTTTCTTATCCTCATTCACTTGAGCCTCAGGCTGTGGTATGTGGAAGCTGACATGGCACAAAAAGTGGTCAAGATTGCAGGTGTGGTAATCACAGCCCTGCCACTCACACTGCAGATCTAGATGCTTGTCCTTTAGTGTTATCCCCTTGTCCTTACGCTTCTTCGTTGCACAAGCAGATGGTACAGTGTTGACTGAATCACCAATTGCATCTGCCAAGTCACACTGATTCCTTTTCTGTGATGGCCTAGAGTCCTCCTCCTTCTCTTGCATTTGAGATGACTGACTGTCCACACATTCAGCACAGTTTGTCAGAGCATCACCTTCTGAGAATTCCTCGCTGAGAAACAACGGACTGCCTCCAAACACTTCATCAAATGATGGCATGCTGGACGTCCTGCTCACACAGCAAACCTGCAATACGTGTACAACAGCTGGTTATCATTATGGAAAAATGTTGTATTTGTGCATCCTGCTGCTTTAGTTGAGAATGTGATATACATATTGTCACATGTTAGTGACTAGACAAAGGGTTTTGATTGATAATGGATTTATTGGACTATTTTAGTATTTTTTTTATTGCTAGTGGGGTGGGACTAAGTCCCTTGTACTGCAGCCACTTCTAGCCTACTGTACCAGCCCCAGATGACAGGTGAGGGTGATTGTAGAGCAATTGGTGGAATGAAGACTGGCAGGGGAAACCGAAGTACTCAGAGGAAACCTGACCCAGCCCCACTTTATCCACCACAAATCCCACTTTACCAGACCCGGGATTGAACCCGGGCCACCACAGTGAAAAGCCAGCGACTAACCGCTTGAGCTATGGTGCGGCCCTGTAATAAGTAACTACAAATGATTATAATGGTCTCAATAATCTACAGTTCTGACTCTCAATAAAAAAATCGACGAACTGGGTCAGTCCGTCAGTCAGGTTGATGGCTGTTAGACCTTGCCAGACCAGTCACTCTTTGTTCTGAGTCCTGTGAGACTGAGGACCATATTTTACTATCTTACAAATCTGGGAGTCATGCTCCAGTTCTAACTGGGTTTGGTCAGCTCCTGACTAGCTGGTCAGTCTGGTAAATTGTTGCTGGTCCTCACCAGCACAGCTAATCTTAGTTTCAAGTCCCATCAGGACCAATGACAATATATTTCTTCTTTCCAAGACTTCCATGTGTTTTGAAATTGGGGCCTCCTCTTCGAAAAAGGAGGGTTCCAACTATTACTGGTCAGTTCCAGTGGGAGTAAGAATCTTAACTTCTCCATGTCGTCCAGACCGGTTCTGGGGCCCATCCAACCTCCTACTCAATGGGCACCAGTGGCTCTTTCCCCGGGGGTAAAGTGGCCGATGTGTGAAGCTGACCACTCACCTCCAGCTAGTGCCGACATCAAGAAGACATGAGTCTATATATCCACTTCCACACACTTCTTCATGACGTAGTGCTTAATTAGTTAAGTACAGGGGCAACTTTGACTTTTTACTTATGTTATTAAAATAGTTTGTAATTTCATCGAAGAAAATAATGTTGCGTATAGATCCGATGCTAGGCAAAGATCTTAAAACAAATAAAGAGACAACAGCCATTGCTATGCAACGGATCGCTAAACATGCCTTTACAGCAGAAGAGTTACTGTTGGAAGCGGTGTTATGCCACCTGTTGCTAGGCAGCTGAAAAAACTGAGCTACAATAATAAAAACGGGGACGTTTTGTATGTGCTCCATGCCAAGGAGTTGAGCAAAGTAATAGTCAGTATCCCATGTGGAGGCGGGGTAGAATACCTCCACTGTAGCTCTGCAAGTCGTAGGAGGCAACGGAAAGGGAACCAAGTGCCTGGGGTATAACCGGCCCACCCTGTTCCTGGGGTATATAAATAGGGGAAACTGGCCCTCCAGGTGGGGGGAATTTCGAATCTGAGATAGTAAAATGAGGTCGTAAGTCCCGAGGAACTAGGACTTGAGAATGACTGTGCTGACAAGGACCAGCAGCAATTGTAAACAACAGACACATCCTTTTGTCAGAGATGATGTTACGTAAGAGCTTCAACCGCAAGTGTTTAGTTGAAATATAAAATTACTTGTTACGAGTCTCAAGGGGCTTCTCGCCAAGACGAAATGATCGGCGGTAAACCGCCAGTCGTAAAGTAATTCTGACTTCTGACCCAGACCCACTGAGTTGTCAGTTGATAGCCTGAGAAGAGAAGAGTATGAGGTAGGTGTGAAATTCCTCCCCGCCTCCGTCAAAGTCAAAGTCACATTGTGACTGATGGTCAGTCAGTCAGTCAGTCAATCGTGGTATCGAGCCCAATCTGGGGCTCATGACCAGATATTTATTACTGCTTGGCAGTTTAGGTCTTGTTATTGTGGGGCGCCCACCCTGACGAAAAGACGGGTCTGTCTTTTATCAGAGTAATTGTCTGTAGTAGTAAGTCATTTGTCATAATGTAAAGGATATTTACATTTTACATGTTAAACATGATAATAAATGTATTAAATATATACAGGGCCCCTGTCAGTCCAGGCTCAGTACAGCAGATTATGCCTTATTTCTAGTAGCTTCTGGTACAACGGCAGTCTAGTCACTTGAATGGTCGTGTGTCTGATCGCCGCCAAGTTTAAGCCTCTTATACTTTCTGTGTCGGGCTTCGCTTGTCCGATGTTGCGAACATTCTCATTATCATGAATTTGTATGACTTCCGTTTGCTGCCTGCATAATTTTGTTATGTAATCATATACGTATGGAATTTTGAAAGCCATGTCTAAATCGCGAACCGGTGCGTGCCTTGGAAAATTGCCAATGGTGCAGAGAACCTTGATTTTAGGCGCTGCAATTCCATTAGATGGGTATTTTCCGCCTCGGGATGGACCCACAACAGACACCGTTTCCATCGTAGTAATTCAACAATATCTCAGTTGTTGATATATTGGGTTTCTGGACTTTATCCATCGTCCTGGTTTTTAAGATAACAAATAAAAACACGACGTTTCAGAAACTGGATCTCTTTCCGTCCTCAGGTGAAGGAAAACACCTATTCAGTTGGGTCCGTTAGAAAGAGCTAGCCTCAATCACTGGACCTTGTTATCTTAAAAACCAGGATGGATAAAGTCCAGAAACCCAATATATCAGTGTGTTACACACCATCATCAGAATCCTATAGTAACTAATCTCAATTGTTGTTTGCCTATTTCTTGCCGCAGGAACATGTTTACCGAGAAGTAGCCTAGCAATGAACGTCTTCTCTGACTATAGTATTTCGGGTTTGGGGCGTTATGTCACAATATTTTCGAGACAGTCAAATATTTTTGGCGCTGTTACTAGCAGACATGACACTAATGGGTTAGTATATGAACTCGATTTCGATAGGCACATAAAACTAATTTAGCGACATTTTTAGAGTATTTTGCTAACTTTTTCCAACTGCAGAGGTTATATAGTGCCGAATTAGGTGGGAAGATGATCCTAAAGGTGAGTAGGAAGGAACGTGTGAAAAAGCGGGACTTACTTTTCTGACGGCAGTAACTCGTTATTCGCCTCGTGAGGCCGGGGGATTATTTTTTTTATTAAATTCGCTTAGTGGGGGATTGAGTCCAACTGGGTCCACTCGATACGGCGGCCAGTGATTGGCCTATTGTAGCCTGTCACTAGTGATTATGATGATGGAGAATTTGGAGGAATGAAGATTTGCAGGGGAAACCGAAGAAAACACGGCCCAGTGCCACTTTGCCCACCACAAATCCCACCTGACCAGACCCGGGATCGAACCCAGGCCGCCTCAGTGGGATAGGCCGGGGGATACTGCACAGAGATCTCAGTCAGGAAAGTCCGGAATCTAGTTGACATTCAAGGCTAAACTGATACACCTGCACAATCATGCTCAGTTACACAACTGCGGTGTAACAGTCCCTTGCATGATTGTTCCGACACACTGCATAAACGCATAATTGGGGAATCTGCTTCGCCTCCCAACACGATTTGTGTCCCGTTCAAGTAACCCAACTGCTCTAATCATTTACAGGGGGTCTTTGAGTAGTTATTTCGCCTTGAAAGTGGAGACAGTAAAGGTCTCCAAAACGTTGGAACTGCAGCCTACATTTGCAAGATGCTTTCACCCATAAATGGGATCCACGTCAGTAGAAAAAACGGTTGAAGAGGGAAATTAACCTTCTTATCGAGAAACATCTGCTGTTTTTTGTAAATTTCTGTCTCCTGGTATTTCCTGAACTTTCATGCCTCTACTCTACACCAGATATAATTACATACAGGTTATTTTTTGCTGCAAAGCGAGAAGGAAAGAGACCACTGGGAAGACCTAGACGTAAATGGGAGGCTACTATTAAAATGAGCCTTAGATAAATAGGACGGTGGGGTGTGAACTTCATTCATTTGGTTCATCACAGAGACCAGTTGCAGACTGTTCTGAACATAGTAGTGAACCTTCGAGTTCCGCAAATGATTGGAAAAATCTTGAGTTGCTGAGTGACTGTTGACTTTTCAAGAAGGACTCAGCTGCCTGGAGTTAGTTCGTTAGTTTCTCTTGAATCACATTAGCATACGCTTGCAGCAGTGAGGACCTGCACTGTAGAACGTAAAGGCAACACGAGGCTTCAACAATTCGCCTTAATTTAACTACGTTTCTGTAACTTTATGCTGTTGTTACACTCTCGCATCACTGCAAGAATACTTGATAATGCTGGACGTAAAATTATGCATACAAATAAATAAAAGTACTGTACGAAAAGAAACAACTAAATATTATCATATGCAAATGGACCGCCTCTGTGGTCTAGTGGTCAGAGTTCCTGGCTACAGATCCAGAGGTCCCGAGTTCGATTCCCGGCGCTAACAGATTTTCTAAGAAGCAGTGGGTCTGGAACGGGGTCCACTTAGCCTCGTGAGGATAACCGAGGAGCTACTTCAAGCAAATAGCGGCTCCGGTCTAGAAAACCGACATTAACGGCAGTGGGGATTCGTTGCACTGACCACGTGGCACCTTCTATCCGCTAAAGTTGACACTAACTTCGCCCACAAACGGCGGTCGCTCGGTCGGTATAGTTCACTTGCGGTCTAAAACCACGGAGTTATCATATGCACATACAAAATGAAAACATATGGCACCAAACATGGAATTATCATCGAACAATCAACATAAGGTAAGCTACAAAAAGAAAGATACAAAATACACTTAAAACCAAAACATAGACTAAACAGCTTGAGAAATCTCCAAACAAAACCATGAGCTATAAGAGCAATAACACAAAGTACCCCAGAGCGACGAACAAAATAGGCATACAATTCATACAAGATGAAATCCTTACTTTCGCCTTGTACACGTCATTTGAAATTGTTCGATACTTATCGCAGGCAAACAGAGGAAACAAATGGATACTTGGTTAGTCTGTTTTTGGTTCTTTGATG